GCTCTTACCACATGATAGATACTTTTAGATTTCAGCACTCTCTCACAGGCTCTGAGGTGCTCATGCTGCATAAACTTGTACATTACGAACTGTGGGACCACCTTCAACTTGGGCAGCACAGCGATGCTTTGGGGAAGACTGGAAGCAGAGGGAGTGTGGCACTGCAATCCATGGGACGTGACTGGATAAGCACCATTCACTAAGCACCATGTGGCCTCTGAATGTTACTACCAAGAGTAGGCTCTGTTTTCACAAGCCGCTATAAAATGAAGTGGCTAAAGAGTACCTAATTTTTAGCTAGTTTTAAAGATGGGCAGCTTTTTCCTCTCTTCTGCATCTGTCTGCTGGTGGTGTTAAAAGACTGCTTCCACATGAGGGTGAGGAGTCAGAGCTCTGCACATCCTTGTAACTGCCCATCTCCTCTCTCCCTGTCCCTTTTCAGACCTTGTTTCTCTGTGAATAGTGCTGAGATGTGTGGATAAAAGTATGAGAGCAGGAATTCTGCCTTCCCCCCCCCATCTCTTCTAAGCTTTGCCAGTTCATACTTACGGCATACTTTCTACCTGTTGGCTTCATCTGCCTTTTTGTTCCATTCTTGAAACACTTCTTCTGAAGTTTTGCAAGTTAATTTTTATGACAGCTTGCTGCAACCTCTGTGCAGTCCAGATATGATATTAATTATATAGACTGCACATCTGGGATTGGAAGTATTTTTTAACACTGGTCTCTTACTTCCCAAACTTGCTTTGTTTTACGGGTTGGGCATTGGTGATATTTTTCATCCTCTTTTGCTTTTTCACAAATCATGTGTACTATCAGCAATTAAAATCTCAAAGGACTGTTTGCTGTCTTTCCTCCTGAAGCTTTGCTGACAGGGTGCATAGTTGGCTATTACTTGTGGTCAAAGCTGACTTGCATCAAAAAGGATGCTGAAGATAGCTTAGCTATGCCACCAAGCATCCCCTGGGTTTTCATTTCATTGCATTTTCTAACCCAGTACCTTCTCGATGTGAAGGAATCTTAATGTGGGCTCCATCCACTGCCTTCCTGAGCTATCAAATCTAGAGGCTTTAGGGATTAGAGTAAGGTTTTACTCTCGCTGTCTCAACCCTTCCCATATTTGAGAAAATGGCTACTGAATTCATAACACTGCAGGTCTTCTGGCTCCCTCCAGACTACACTGCAGATATTCCTTGGGAGTGCTTGCAGTGGTTTTCCTAGTCCAGAGCTATGGACTGTCTGTTTGGACTCGTGCATCAGTACAGGCTTGGGGCGGACCTGCTGGAGAGCAGCTCTGTGGAGAGGGACCTGGGTGTCCTGGTGGACAACAGGTTAACCATGAGCCAGCAGTGTACCCTGGCTGCCAAGAAAGCTAATGGGATCCTGGGATGCACCAAGAAGAGTGTGGCCAGCAGGTCGAGGTTCTCCTTCCCCTCTACACTGCCCTAGTGAGGCCTTATCTGGAGTCCTGCGTCCAGTTCTGGGCTCCCCAGTTCAAGAAAGATGAGGAGCTACTGGAGAGAGTCCAGCGGAGGGCTACAAGGATGGTGAGGGGACTGGAACATCTCTGCTATGAGGTTCTGTCTGAACATGAGGGAGAACTTCTTCCCTCTGAGGTTGGCGGAGCACTGGAACAGGCTGCCCAGGGAGGTTGTGGAGTCTCCTTTTCTGGAGATATTCAAGACCCGCCTGGACAAGGTCCTCTACAGCCTACTGTAGGTGACCCTGTTTCGGCAGGAGGGTTGGACTAGATGACCCACAGAGGTCCCTTCCAAACCCTACCGTTCTGTGATTCTGTGATTCCTGCAGCAGGACTGACTTTCCTTGTCTCCTGTCTAAGCATACAAGAATTGCCCTGCATTTTAATTCCAGTGTTCTTGAATGAACATTGGCAAAGACTTCCAGCTTTGAATAAGGCATTTATAACTAAATGTATCTGAAGTCAGAAATTTTTATACTGGAAAAAAAGTTTCTTATTAAAATCTAAGTTCAGTTAGCTAATTACTATAGCCTATGACTTGAGCAGTAATCAGATCAGAGTGCTTTTGATCTGCATAGTTTACGTATTAATGCTTTTGATTGCTACTACTTAGTTTCACAAACACGTTGCTGCAGATGGGAAGAGGTGTGTAATACCAGTTATGGCCATCAAAGACACTTCAGTAAATGGCTGTCTAAAACTTTACACCAGAAAGAAGGTAATTTTACAAAAAATGATGAGATAGAATAATAAGTGTAACTTGTGTGAGAAGCTTTAGCATGAATCTAAATCTTTATTAAAGTGTTGCTTTTACTTATTTGCTCACTTCTGTGTGTAGAAAAATCTGAAGTATGTAAATTACTCTTGTTTGTGTGGGTGTGGTTTTTTTTTTTTTAAACCAGTAATTTTTGTCAAAATGGTAGATTTCACTCAATTTACAGCTGATGCAAAAAGAAAAATGCCCACAGCTCTCATAATTCTTTGCTGTTACCTAAGCAGCACTGTAAGGCAGGTGCTATCAGTTGTCACTATTTCTAATTAATTTCTCTTGCACGCAGTTTCCTGTGATGTTACGTGGTAGGTGGACAGGAAGGGAATGCTAGCAAGTTCTTGTTCTGTTTAAACAGAATGTAAGTAAATCAGTTATTGCCCACTCAAGACACTGTTTTGCTGTGTCTTAAATCATGTGCAGGACTCTTCCATGTGCCACCCAAAGAAACAAGTCTCGAAGATCAGTTTTGAGACAGGTGAGAGAAGCCGTAGTCCAGGTAGGTCTTTTTTGACCAGTGGCTTTAGTTTCTGTTGTAGTTAAATATCCTATAGTAGTCCTGTTTGCTCATCTAAGCTCAGGAGCTGGTGGCTGTAAAGAGGTACATCATACGGAGTTTTTACTGATTGGTAAACTGTAGAGTTTTAAGTCTTGATCCTGCTTCGTTCCCCACGTGTGTGTGAACTGCTCGTGAGTGCAGCTATGCTTACATACAGAGCTTTTACCTTGATTGAAATCATGGCATTAAGCTGAAGGTAAGAGAGGGTTGGAGATGTTTTTAACTGACACAATTGTAAGCTATTGATAAACCAGTCACTAGTACAAAGAATCACTTTCTTTAATGTGAAGCAAATTCAAATTCAATTTGCAGTGCAGTGCTTTTGCAACAAGAGGTGTGCTTTGGAATGCAGATTTTTACTCTCTTGCTGTCACAGACGTGAAAGCAAAGGACTCAATTGAGAAGGAGAACATAAGAGGCTTAAAGTGATTGTAGTAATGCCATTTTCTTATGTATCGAAGTCTGCACTTTCGGTGGCCATCAAGAACTGTTAGGCTGTGACTGTTCTGGATTCAGCACAGATCTTGAACAGCTGCGCTGCTCCACTGGGTGCAGGGGAGGTGCATGTTACACCAGCTGAGGATCTGTTTTCAGATAACGTATCACTTGCAGAATGTGATCTGAGGTGCGAAAACTTTGACTACAAGCCCAAATAAAATGCATTTGCTTTATTTTCTGTGAATCATAAACTGCCATGTGTAGGTCTCGTGCTACCGTATTGGTCTGATGAAATGTAAGCACTCGTGTTCCTCCCATCAGAGGCAACGTAACCAACCTAGGAAGAGGCTTGATCTGCAGTCCGCAGCTTTTGCATCTGTTTTTGCCCACAGGACTGTGAACTTTCCAATAACTAAGCACCTAATTTTCAGAAGACCGGGCAGTGCAGACGTGGCCTCCTTAGGACGTGCCTGGGGCAGACTCCCGCGGGGATCCTGCCTGGCATTCCATGCAGTCTGCAGCTTGTCACCCAGTACGGATTGTCTGGCCCATATGATGCAGGCAAGAGCTTACACATCTGAATCTCCAGCTTCAGTACAGGGTGATGTTGGCTCACGGCAAGTGAACTGCGTGAGGGTGACAGCTGATTTGCAGCGGACAGAGTAAATATGCCGCAAAACCAAAGGAATGCTCAATTCCTACTTAAATTAGGAATGCAGCCACAAATCTTTATCTCCTTAGCATCAGGCAATGCATGGTAAAGGAAAAGATAGATTTTTTAGGGGAAAATACAGTCACTGAAAAGTAACTATTCTGCTTCATCAGCTGGGAATGGAGCTGGACTGTGAGTGCTGAGGAGTCCCCAGAGCATCCCGAAAGCCACTGGCTCTGCTGATGCCGGAGAGTGGTCAGATGAAAATAATTTGTGAGACTGTCCCTGGACAGAAAACAAAGCAGCATTTATTTGCCTGTGCAGGAGGCAGCCATCCTGCTGCTGAGAGGGAGCCTTTACAGCTTACGTGATCTGTGTGTGCACGTGTGATACACAAAATGCAGTCTTGTGTGTAGCAGGTGGGGTTTTACAGCTGTTGCATCTCCTGTGATTTCCAGATCATACATGGCTGTGTATGGGTTAATTTTTTTTAAAGTAAATTACCTACCAGCTCAGACTGAGATCTAATGTAAACTGCAAAATTGCTACTAACAAAGGTTCAGCGGGTCAACTTTTCTACTTGATGACATCTTTACAACCTACTGCTTGAACACTTTTCTTTAACTGGGTGTAGGTGGCTGTGTAATTGAAAGTTTCTGTTGATGAAATGAAGGGAGGCATCTAGTTTAGTGCCCATTTCTTTAACCCAACAGTGCCAGCGCAGCTGATAATAATGGAAAAAGAAGACATGAAAGGTAGCAGACAGGCTTTAAATACTCCAGGGAAGCAGATCTGGAGAAAAAGGAGCCAGACAGCAATCACCGTAGGACGTGTTAACTGCAAGAACACCTTGACTACTCCTGGGCCCCTCTGGTTCCCCCCAAAGAAGAGTTTTGCCTAATAGTAACCTGCCATGCCTATCGTTGTGAAAGAAGAAAAGGGGAAAATACCACTTTGAACATCAGACCAGTTATATTGCATAAGAATTATCAATTGGCACTTTTATTCATTGTGAAATGTTAAAGATATTATAAAATAATCCCTAGTCACTAGTATAATTACAACTGGCCTCGCAAAGAGCTGCACCTATTTGCGCTCCAGTTTAATTTTCATTGTAAGACGTCTTGCCTGGTACTGCAGGATACGGCTTCTCTAACGCTGACAAAAGCAGCAGCGCTTGTGAGGCTTTGCTGGGGGCTGTGGCTGAGCTGCCGTTCTTGCAGTTGGAGGTATAAGCAGAGAAGTAGTTCATCCTGTGAAGCTCTGCTCGGCCCTTACAGAAATTGCGTAGAGAAATGGATTTGCACAGGAGTTGACAGGGTAAAATAAAACTAGCAAGATCTTGGAGTTTGTCACTGTGATGAGAGGTACTTTAAAGGCAGCGGATATGGCAAAAAAGGAGATGGGGGCCATGCAGGTAAAATCCGTGAAGATCAGTATTGCCATCCTCTTGGCAACCTTGGTATCTTTATTGGCAGCTACCAGCTCTGGATTCTGAACAGCTATGTAAATCTTAATGTAGCAAGCACAAATGACAATGAAGGCGACAACATTTAGCACTAAGATCAGCAGTATGTAGGCTTGGGAAAGACCCGTTTCAATGTCCATGGGTAAACAAATGCTGACCTTCATGTAGCTGCTGACCCCTAAGAGAGGCAGCACCGCTATCAAAAGGGAGAATATCCAGCCACCGAGCATGATCGGCACCGCGTGCCTCAGGCGTAGCTTTCGATCCAGCTGCATGGCGTAGGTGATCGTATGCCACCTTTCTACAGTGATCACCGTCAGCGTGTACACCGAGAGCTCGCTTGCAAACACGGTGAAAAAGCCGGCAGTGCTGCAGCCGCTGCCTGTCTGCCAGTCTATGGCGTGGTTGTAGTACTGACCTCTGGTCTGGGCATCAACAGAAGCAATGAGCAGCAGATAAAGGCCCATGCAGAAATCGGCAAAAGAGAGGTTGCACATGAGGAAGCGAGGAACAGTGAGCTTGTAATGGCTGGTGGTGAGAACGAGGAGTACAGTGAAGTTGCCAGCGATGGCCAGGATGTTTATAAACCAGATCAGGACTCTGAGAAAGCTGTATCCCAGGATGTCTTCACAGGGATTAAATGCATCTGGTTCCGGAGTGCATGTGAGTATCTGAGGCTGACAGAAGTCATACTCGAAGTCGAAGCCGGTCATTTCGCTGTCATCGAAAATGGCTGAGTAGCTGTAAGGAGAGGTTTCTCCATCTGTTGCGAATAGGTACGAGTTCTTTTCTGCTGACCACAGTGATGTGTTGTAAGCGTCATCTCTGTAAGTGTTAAAAAAAACAACCCCCCACAAGTAGAAGTGAACCATTTGTGCATGCTGCTCACACTCTTTTGCAAAATACAACAGATAAGAGTAAACAACAGTAAACAAAACAGTTACTTCCCAGATGCGTTTCTACAGGGTGTTTACATATAATGAAGCCTTGTAAGGATGCCTTTTGTTTGGGTAGCAGCCTTGGAAAGTAGCAGAGGTCATAGTCGCATCCACAGGAATGCTTTGTTACACAGCTTGCTTATTTGTAAGTACATTCTCTTGATTGCTTTGTAAGCGAGCCATCTTTCTCACGCTGCCAGTAGGCTGCAGTTCAAACTACAGTAACACTCGAATTGATGGATTGTAGGTTTGATGCATATAGGTTTATCAGACGTTTGTAGAAGGCAAAATAACCTAGCAATTTTAACTGCATGCCCTTGCCTCCCTTAGGAAACGCACTTACCGAACAAAGTCCCGAGACTACAGATTACTGGGGAAGTGCTGAGGAATGTGGTGTTCACAGTGATAAAAAGTGAGGAGTAGAAGTGCATGGTTAACTAGATAATGTCCATAGCTAGGAATATGTTACATTTAGATGCCTAATTATAAATGTGTCTAGATGTTTAAAATAGATGTCTCTAATCTCCAGGTCGTCAGTAGTGTGGGGATAAACCTACCAAAGAAGAAACATTTTAAAAACAAGCACTGTCCCTTCCAATTCCCTGCCAGAACAGGTACCTATTGCACGACTATACAATCATCATCCCAACTGTGAGTGTTTGGTGCGTAAACATTCAATCTGCAGCCTGAGACCTGGAAAGCATCTCTACTGAGAACAACTCTTCAGAAAATTGGTAGCTTTGGGATAACTTAAATTCATGCCTCAACTTCCACATCTACTGAAGCATGTACACTAAACTATTTTTCTGGAGCAGGGTCTTAACTGGCAAATGAAGCTGAGTTGCTTTTCAGCTATTCCTGTTGGGCAAGTAACTTCCCAGTCTTGTAATCCTAACTCTTCCCTCCTTACGTGAAAAACTGTCACAGAATCACAGAATGTTTCGGGTTGGAAGGGACCTCTGTGGATCATCCAGTCCAACCCCCCTGCTGAAGCAGGGTCACCTACAGCAGGCTGCACAGGACCTTGTCCAGGCGGGTCTTGAATATCTCCAGAGAAGGAGACTCCACAGCCTCCCTGGGCAGCCTGTTCCAGTGCTCAGTCACCCTCAAAGTGAAGAAGTTCTTACTCATGTTCAGCTGCAGCTTCCTGTGCTTCGGTTTGTGCCCATTGCCCCTTGTCCTGTCCCTGGGCACTACTGAGAAGAGTTTGGCCCCATCCTCCTGACACCCACCCTTCAGATATTTGTAGGCATTCAGAAGGTCCCCTCGCAGCCTTCTCTTCTTCAGGCTAAACAAGCCCAGCTCCCTCAGTCTTTCCTCATAGGACAGCTGCTCCAGTCCCCTCATCATCCTCATAGCCCTGCGCTGGACTCTCTCCAGTAGCTTCTCATCTTTCTTGCACTGTGAGCCCAGAACTGGATGCAGTATTCCAGATGGGGCCTCTCTAGGGCAGAGCAGAGGGGGAGGAGAACCTCCCTTGACTTGCTGGCCACACTCTTCTTAATGCACCCGATGTCCAGTGTCTTGCTTTTAAAAACTTGCCTGGCTTAAACTGGAAGAGGAGGGAATGTGTTTGACTCTACTAATAAAAATGATTATGATTTTCTGAGAGGCCATGTAAACAGGCTGCCATGTGCAAGCTGTTTTTTGCTAATAAGAGCTTGGGACTTTCAGCTGATTTCTTCTGTGGTTCTCAAACTTTTCAACTTGCAGCCTTTCAGCCCATGAATCCTGACCTTACTTCTATTTGCTTAATGTAACGTCTGCTCAGAGAATTGCTGGATTGCTGGGATTGGGACTTACCAGAGTAAAAACTTCAGGAGCCAATGGACAGACTATTTAATGCACAGTCAAGTGCAACAGATGCTAATCTGAAGCAGGGGGATGACTCTGGCCCAGGCACTGGTGCTTTGTGTGATCACATTCCTCACTGGGGTGTCGCTTCACTTGCCTTTGTAACGCGATCTAATGCTTTGTGTTGACCTCCTTGCCTCACCCTGCTTCTCCTCAAAGCCACCCTTGATAGAGGCAATGTATTCTTGGTCTTGTTGACTGCCTGGACTTTGCCTTTTTCGTGGAGTGGACAGGACTAAGCGAGGCACTCAAAGGAGCTGCAGGTAGGCAGCAAACGAGAAGCGGTGACAAGAGATGCTTTGCTTTACGAAAGGCTGAATAAAACCAAATGGCAAGTGTAGGAGGCCTCACCAATCAGTGGGTGAGATAATGTCCAAGGAGTTCAGTATCCCAATGGCTCAATCACATTTCAGCTGTATTTAGCTGTTGGAATTTTATGACCGTGACCTTGTTTTTTCTAGGCTTCACAATGCTCTGACCCCACATCAGGGCTGATGAGAAGTCCCAAGCCCTTTCATTTAGCTGTAGAGGGATGGATATTAGCAAATCCTTAAACTTCTCCATTAAATACTCTTTCAGAGCCTGTGTCATCCAGCACAGCCAACACAACAGTTTTGACGTTAGCCTTAGTCATTGTCCCGCTGAACGCTGTCAAACAGAACTGTGATGATATGGAAAGACACATTTAGAAGAGGTAAACCAATTGCATGGGGTTATGAAACTTATAACTTGGGGACTCTATTTCTACCGTGGAAAACTACTGACATACAGACTTCTAATTATCCTTTCTATAGGCAAAAAAATGTTAACAGTAGCAGCTCTTCTTTGAATCACAGAGACAACTGCAATTATCTCAGGGCATGAGAAGTCTCCACGTAGGCCACTAACTTTCTTAAATAGGTAATCACTGTTTTGAAAGTCTTTCAAGAATTCACAAGAAAAGCTGGAGTGAGTAAAGCTTATGAAATGATGAGGTTTTTGTTCCTTTCCTTTTGAACATCAAAATCACAGCTCCTGGTTTAATGATAGTAAAATTACCACTGTGCAACTTGCAAGGGTGACTGAATCGACAGGAAAAGACCTGCTTTTCTAGAAATAACACACGAACAGCAGGAGGGGGAGGTCTAGCATCTGTATGCAGAGACGTACTTACAATATTCCATTAGTTGGTTTCCTCATGGTGCTTTCACACTCTTTGGAGAAGTCGTCAAAAATGGAAAGCAATGAATTTTTTCTGAAACAAGGATGAAAAGAAAATTGAGTTTCAGTCTGAATTTTGGCCAAATTCTCATCTTCTCTGCAAGTGATCTTCACAGAGATGTAAGGTAAGGTTGAGTTGGCCTCACAGCGGTGTGAACATTGATGTAGACCTCTAGAAGCGGGGAGCAGAAGGGTTCAAATACTGCGGCAGTAAGCAGTACCTCATGGGGGGGCATAAGGATGGTCTTTCAGCTCAGTTGCTGTTTATCATGTATTTTTTACAGTGAAATAACTTGAGCTGGAATTAAAAGGTATGTTTTGCCTTCTGAAATATTATACTGAAGTGAGCCAGATGCTCCACCAGTATGAATGTTAGCAGTTATGCTGGCTTTTAGAGAAGTGCATGCTAACAAATGCTGGTAAGCTGGCCTGATATTTGGAAAAACTCTCTGGGATCTGGAGGTAGACTCTGCTTTACTTCCAGCACGTAATTTTAAAAGCACAAGTTGAAAGATGGCACATATGGCAAAATCTCTGGTTTTGAGGCTTTGAAAGTATGGGTCGGGTACTCCACCAGTGTGAATGGAAATGGCTTTGTCACACCTCATTGCTGGACAGTAGAAAGAGCCAGCAAATACATTAAGCTCTTTTGTGCACCCTTAAGAGAATCAGACAGCTGGAAGCTTATAGAAAGTTTTATGTATAGTGAGAGAAATAAGGTTTTAAGATAACAATCTAAGCTCTTATGTGATGCTTATAAATAATGGGATGGCAAGAGAAATTGTTTTTTCTTGTAATTTTTTGAAGATGTGGTATAACCTGCTCCTCTGCCCCCATTCAGGCCAGTGGAAGAAAGTCCAAGGAAGTGAATGCTACCTTCCACCTCTCTTACACTGCTCAGGGAATGAGCACACTACATTTGTACCCCAGAAATCTCAAGAATATTTGGTCTGACGACTTTATTTCCCTAATGTCTGTGATGCTGACTTAAGTGAACCTGCTTGCCCAGTCAGATGTATGTTAGACCTTGTCACCACATCTCACTGATTAGAGTGCAGTAGGTAGGTGCTAAGGAATGGGATATGGGGCAGGGGTAGGAAGAACTGGGTGGGATGACTGTATGTAGAGTACAGGGCAACAGAAGGGGGTGGAAGGAGACAGAAAGAGGCTGCAGCTGTGTGACCATGAGGATACATAACCACACAAAGACACTTTCCTCTGTAACCTGGGAAGGTCTTGGGAGGTCTCAGTCTCTGTGGTCTTCCACTGTCATCAGTAGGTGACAAGGAAAACCGCCAGAGATCTGCCTGTCACTCCTTTATAGTAGATGGTCACACAGAAGATAACAGCCTATTGCTTGTGCTGTTTTTTCCGTTGGCCGGGGCTGTGCAGATAGGTAATGCATCAGCACTGCTCTGAACCCTGCTGATGTCCCCATTAGGAGGGTAGGCTAGTTTCCTGATTTGCAGGGGTTTTTTTCCCCCAGTTTACTAAGAAAACAGTCACTAAATATAGGAAAGTCACTTACTAAAGCACCCCTGTTTTTATAGAGCATGATCACATTGCGAAGTCAAGCACCTGAAAATTAATACAATATCAGAAATGTAGTTACCTTCAACAAAACGAATAAAATATTTTTTTTGTCCCAGAGTTTCTTCTGCATTTAATACACTTGGAGACTTGATCTGGGACTGGATCCAGAGTTTAGTAGCAATGGAAACCCTTGACTTCTACTCTTGCAGAAGCAGGAGCAACTTAGTAAAATGAAGTAGGCAGAGAAAGCATAGCATCACCTCTGATTTTACCCTAAAGAACTGGATTCTACTCCTGCCTTTGCAATGCAGTCTTGATGTGGTGGCGTGCAAGTCGCACAGACCAGGCTTCCCACAAACGACTGCTCAGTGCGTCTTTTCTGTAGCCTTCGTTTGAGACAGACGAGAAGTGTCGCATCCTCATAGCTTCAACTAAACTGATTTGGAGTTGCTTTGGCTGCCTAAAGCCGATGGAGGGTTGATTTCTTTGAAGGAAAAATGCTGAAAAATTAGCTCCAGTTGTCTCAGAGTGACTGCTCCGAATTAGCAGATGCAAAGCGTGCTCTGCGCCACAGTTTCCAATTCTATTGTTATCTGAAAGCACTGGAACTAAACTGAGTAACCTCTATAGGCTTGTGTCAGGTCCTTATTTCAGTGAGTAATTGAAAGCCTGCCTCTTCTAGGTCATCACAGCACCTGCATTAAATAAGATGCATTGCTAAAGGCTACAGGGGTTATTTTTTTTTTTTCTTTAGGACAATGTGCTATTGACAGAGATCTATCTTCCATGTGCCAGTAGGCATTTTTTATTGAGATACCAAGAAAAAGATAAGGTTTAAGCCAATTTAGAATAATGTTCCTGCTGGCAGATCCTGGGCCATTCCTGTTCTAAAATAAATGAGAAATAATTTTCCTGACTTTAGCAGAGATCTGTTGTTTTGTGTGAGGCCTTGTTACGTACCACAGCTTCCTTGTAACTGGAATAAGGATAATCAAACCTCCTGAGCTGAATAAAGCAGAATTGCCATTTTGGAGCTTCTGAAGTACTGCAATACAATAATGTGTTATTCTGACTTACTTTTCTGTCCTTAGATTTCGAAAAGCACAGCAGTGGCTGGGGGACGTCAGAACAGCTTCCAGAAGACTGCTGAATTTCTCCAGTGGTGGCAGTCTCTTTAACGAGTAAGATGACGTTGCATTTAAGACTTGAATGGCCTCGAGCCCGTAGCTAGGCAGGGACTCCAGCGCCGTTGAAGAAACATCCCTGCGAAATAGAGAGAGCATTCTCTTTTCTTTTCATATGAATAAAAATACCACCAAAGCATGACAGTAGGTAACAGCGACTCGGTTCTTCACAAAGGTCTAAATCTGCAAAGCCACTTCAGCACCTGATACCCAGCACAGAAACGTGGTCTGTGAAACTGCAGAGCAGCGGGGTAGGAGCATCCCTGTGGCCCAGGAGCCCCATCGAGGCAAGGAGCTCACTTTGTCCTGGGGAAACCAAAATCCCCTGCTTCAGGGGCTGTGCCCTGACCTCTCTGCTTGAAAGCCACTGTGCATGGTGTGAGGGATGGCTCTTTGGGCCAGAGAAAGGGAGAGAGAAAGTGGGTGAATGTGACTCTCCAGCCAGCTAACAGGCAGGACAACCTCCTGGCTCTCTGCTTGGCTCTGAAGGGCTGTTCTAGGTGTTTTAATTAATTAATTAACACATAAAAGAATCCATCATTCTTGCCAAGACACCCTTAAGTGGTTTGGCTTAGAGTAACCTCAGAGAGGCTGTTTGTGTGAGGAAAGACCCTCAACATGATTAAGGATTTTCAGAGTCAGGCAATTAAACAAGGGAAAAAACCGCTACAATTGTGAAAGTGATATTAGTGATGCCACGTACTGTAAAGCACCAATAAAAGGAACAAAATGGCACATGCAGCACAGAGTGCTATTTACAGAACCACCCATTGTGTTTTATCGCATGTTGTTACAGACAGTGCAGCCCTCCAGAAAGTACTTGATTAATAAGGCATGAGGATGATAATAATGTGTTTTATAAGCACAGGCTTATAGCATGCAATCAGCTAGTTCACTTTTATAACCAAATTCTAAAATAATATGTTGTAAAAACGTACCCATCCTACCAAAAGACAAGTTAGTTTGCAATGTCAGAATATAAGGCACAGGAATAGGATCAGGAGGATCTGACCCAAGTAAAGCAAAGGCCGAAGTATCTAAGACAGAGGTCAACGCCGATGCTAGAACTGGCTGAGACACGTTTGTCACGGTGCAAACTGAGCCTCCCGCCCTGTAATTTCCTGGCGTCTCATCGATGTGTTTCCATTTTACAAGCAAAGGGTAAGAGCTGAAGTCTCCTTCCAGACTCAAAGCCCGTGTTTGCTGAGACGACGCAGCCCACGTAGCACAGCGCAGCTCCCGAGGGACACCTATAAACCCAGGTAACCGAGCGGCGGATACTTACAGGACATCTGGCCCTGTGGCTCCTCTCAGGGCATCGTTGTGTATCCGCCTGAGGTTCTTATTGTCCTTCAGTATTCTGTGGAACCAAACATTAACTCTCTTTACATCTGTATTTTAAAAATAATCCTTTTTTTTTGTTTTCTTCTTCCTGCCTGTTTCAACCCTTTCTCCCACTGCAGTGGCTGCTGTTGCAGTATCTGGCCTGGGAGTGCTTGTATTTCTCATGCAACCTTTCCCTCTGCTCATGCCATCAGACCATTATCTTCTAAACTTGACTCTGATGATTTCCAATTTCTTCTGACTTAAACCAGGAACAACCAGTCTGGTTCCTTCGCTGCAGTAGCAGTGTACAAAAATGCAGCAAAAGTTTTGCCCAAACCAAGAGGCTAGTTCCAGAGGTGTGGGAATGATTTAAAAACTACTGATGCTTCCAGACGTAAAATGCAGGTTCCTCAGTTTGGGCTATGGTTTCAGGCTTTCCACTGTTGCTGCTAAGTTTAAGAATTCATTAAATTTTATTCAAAATTAAGAGCTTTTCTGATAAAAACTGCAGCATTTTAAAGGATGGTGTTTCAGGAAAAGCAGTTAAGTGCTGCAGGATTAACAACTGAGTCACAATGACACTGAAACATGCAGTTTCCTAATGGGTGTCAGGAAATGCAGGACTCGGCCAGTTAAGCTGAAGGAAGACCCTTTGACTGAATTTGAACTATTATTTACTATTTAAAAAAATATACTGAGGAGGGGAAACATACTCACAATTGATTCAGCTTTGTCCCATTGAAGGCGTGGCTGTGGATATCTTCAAATCCATTTTTATATAATTTGCTGAGGATTAAAAAAACACAGAAGGGAAAAAGATTTGGAAAAGATGAGATTATGTTATGCACTTCAGGTTTCAAATCTTAATGCTGCATTCATTTTAATGATGAGAGGGTCTGGCTTATAAAGAATATAGATAACTATTGCATAACTTACATTAACTCTAAAATTAAGATAAAATTGCAGTTTAAATTCCCTAAGCACCTTCCTGTTTAGCTGTTGGAGAGAACTTCTGCTTACGTACAGATCCTCCCTTGTCCGAGGGGCTCACCTGTGTTGACCTTGGGCTGAGATCCAGAAACAAGACATTAGTCCAGGTAAGCTCCTGGCACGCAGACAACCTGGGGGCAGAAGACCTGGATTTTGTGGTGCTAGCAGGTATAAATGGAAGACTGCAAGGGCTAGAGGAGCGTCAGATGGAAAGCAACTTTAAAGCCTGGAGGGTGCCACTGGATTGTAGATCCTCTGCGGACAGACAAATCTTCCAGCAGCCCAAGAGAGAGCTTTGCAGAGAGGCAGGGGTGAGTCGTGCATCGTCCAGCAGCCGGTGAGCTACGGACTCCTCTGAAGTACTGCTGCCAGGCTTGAGCTGTGCCGTGGAAAGCTCGCTGGCCCCTGCGCTGCACAGGGACACCCGATGCCACCCTGGGTTCTTGATTCCCCACCCTGGGGCCAGGTACCTAAAGGCAGGGCTCTGCTGCACCTGCAGTCCAGCTCTTTTCCTTCATTAGGAGATCTAATATATTTCACTGAGAAAAATCCATTTGTGATATTAAGTTAATGTTTGCAATATAATTTCAATATAATAATTTGTATATAGTGTTTTTTCCCTAGTATTAAGCCCTAATACAAAATTCAGCACTGTTTATAAATTAAAGAAAATTTCTGATGTTACTTTTCCATTTGTTTTTGGGAAAGCAGTAACTGGGGCTATGGAACCTGCTCCCAAGAAAAGCTGAAGTGTGGGGAGCGCCTGGCTCCATTTGATACAAGAAGGGGTCTATGTCAGCGAATGCTGAAACTGGTGACTTTCCGTAAAAAACCCAGTGATATATAGCATTGATTCTCCATCCACATGAAACACTGCTGGAAAAACTACATTAGCTATTTGTAGTGCAAAGTATTACTGCAGGCTGCCTTTACACCTTTATAGATTACTTGTGTTTCACCAGACCACGCTGCAACAGCCGGAATTACTTTGGCTAATTACAGTTAACCGCATGGGGTGGAGTTATGTAGCTCTACAATTAAGAAGCTGCTGATAAGGTAATTCTTTTCCTCTTGTGGTGACCTCTCTACCACAACAGGAGGGGAGAATAATGATTGTTGGCTGTTTCCTGACTGAGTTAGACTCCCTCCCATTTAATACACTTTAGGGTTACAGTAAAAATTTTAAGCACCTTTCTCCATCTCTTGTATGTTCATCTTCTTGCACCATTAACAGAATCATAATTTTGCTGAAGTTATTTTAAGAACTTGCTGGTAGGAAAAAGGCTCGTAAGATGAAATGATGCCCTAATCTAAGCAATTGCTTGTCTTTAACATTGCGTGGAGGTAGCCTTCAGTCACATTTATGCTTGGTTCCTCTAATGGCTTCAGAGGGTATTGGTCAATACATAAAATCTGTGTTGAAATTACAGTCATGCTGGCACATTGGCCTGATGAAGGGCCCAATCCAGTCAACTGCAGTACGTGTTCATGTGCGCAGCTCATTTGTGCATGCAAATATGCACGGAGTTTTGGGGAAGGGGTTGGTACATGCTCATCTCAAGGCAAGGGTCCCCATCTGGGTGTGTACTGCCTTTTAAAAATCAGTCTGGTCTGCAAACGTTGGCTTCACTGGCCTCCAGATTGGTGTTTGTGGCTGAAACATGAAGCCGGTCTGCTGGTGCTCTCTTGCTTACCGGGTCCTTCCTCGGGAGACCTCGGTTTCGGCCACATCCTGCAGAGAGGCTCAGTCTGTGATCTTTTTTTTTCCTATTTCAGCACTTCTTTGTGGAGGTTTTTGTAAGGAAAATGATCCTGCGGAATCCATACACAGTTCTTGCTGTCCTGGCAGATGACAACTCACCTTGGCTTTCTGTATTCCTCGGGTGGGGCATCTCAATGAACATCAAACCCACCTGTCTTACAGGTAGCTGTAGCAATGAATCCACAGTTTGCTAAAAAGGAAAGTCTTGGGTGTGGAGACTTACAGGAATCAATGTAAGCTGAATCAAGAGAAATCAGGCTAAGAACAAGCATCGGGACTTTGTACCAATTTGTTCTGTCCTTTCCTTCTCTTCAGAGGGACCTTGTGCATCTGAAGCTCAGCAGTGTTAGATCAGTAGTATCAGCCTGGTTGGCCCCTGAAAGCACTGTTTCAAGAAACTTTATCCCTGAGGGAAAGAAAAAGACTTTGGCCTCCAGTGCAGCCTTTGCAGTTTCTGCCCTGTTGATGGTGTTTTTAAAAACAATGTTGCATGGAAGGTGAGGATTTGGATTCCTCCCCCTATTTTCTTTCCTAAGTGAAGCTAAGCTTTTGGACAAAACCCTGCTCTTCAGCTTGAAGAACACCCCTCTATTTCCTAAGCATTTCAAATTTAACTCACAGTACAGACATGTGTTTATATGTCTTATATAATCTAATATGGGGCTTAATGTCAATATTTTTATAAAGTTGAGCTACTCTCCTCAAGCAGAAGTGTTTTCCTCACAGAACCAACTGGAGTTAGGATTATTTTACTCACAGTGTCAGCGATTCGTTGTTCATCCCCTGGAAAGCATTTTGTGGTATAGTTGTCATACGCAAGTTATCGCAGAGCTCTCTTTGGGAGGAGAAAAAAACAACGGTATTTTTGCCAGTGATTCAGGAACAAGATGAAAAAGACTCACAGCTGGGTTAGGCTGGGTCTCTACTTACAAGATAAAATGAGCTTCTAATGAGAAGATCTGTGTCAGATCCGGAAATTGCCTTATTCCAGTGTTACTAATGCTCCTAGAGAAAAGCATAATTCCTATTTACAGGAGAAAAGATTACCAGAGTGGATGCAACAAGAAGCCAGCTTGGTAGGTACAAGTTTAACAATGCATTAAAAGGTAAGTGACAAATAAAATAATTTTTAATTCGGCTCCAATTGTGTTTATAAGACCTGTAAAAATTAGGTTTGTAACATCCTCAAGCACTGTCCTGGAGAAGCACCGTATGTTCTCCCTACATTAAGCACAAGGAAGAGATTTTAATTACCCCTTTTGCACAGTATCTTGTTTATCTGAAAGCTTTATTCTAGAAATAAGCACTTAGCAGAACTAATTTGTAGACTTTACCACAGTTTTGTTCATTACTGCCCTGCCCTGGGTTACTTTATTTTCTTGCCTATTGAAAGACCTCACTACTGGTTAACTGCACATTAAAGCTATCGTAAATGATGTATGTACTTTCAGTGTACCTTAATGCACGAAAAACTTCTTTTTTCCTTACATTCCTTTCTGTAATTTGTCCACTCCTTTAGAGAGAGAAATAAAAAGCAACCAGAAAAGAAACAGAACTCTTTCTTACAAGTATTTTAGCTTCGGCAGGTTTCTGAACGCTCCGTCCTCGATGTGCAATAGATTTTTTGTGTTCAGGATTAGTCTGTAACGAGGGAAAAACTTTTCAGTGTTACAATGGTTATACATTTGGGAGAGTCCTGAATTTTGCTAGTGATTGGCTTTATCAGAAAACAGTCAAGTGCAGAATACGGCAGAAGGCTCTCCTGCTGTGAAGAAACTTTCTACAAATATACCACGAGTGCATTTCGAAGAACTATTGGTAATAAGAACGGCCTGTTGAAAGGTAACAGTTCCTGAATTCCCACAGTTCACGGAGTTGAGATGATCTGGTCTGGATATCCTGGTCACTGGTGGGAGTTCGCGTTTTGCTGTCACCTGCTGGTTCTTTGGGTTACACAGTCTGGGCTCATGGTATACCCAATGCAGTGGAGCCTCTGCTTTAGCACAGGAGCTCAGAGGCATGAGCGTGCTACCGTCACCACCACTGTGCCTCCAGCCGATGCTCTTGAAGGTGGGGCTGAGCAAGCAGCCTGAACTCCGCGTGTGTGTGTGTGTGCCTGGTCCTTGCTCCACAGTCAGGTCCCTTTGCATCATCCCTTGTTCCCATCATATTACTGATGCTCTGCCTAGCCAGGAAAGGCAGTTCCTCAGATGTTTAAGCAATAAGAGCTCCATGGTCTTCATCAGAGCAGTGGCTAGTAGCAACAGATGCCTGCTTAGATCTGCAGACACTGGGAGATGGAGCTAAGTGTGTGAGAAATACTGCTGGTGGTGGTTGCTCAAAAAAATGAGACAGACCCTCTCAATCAAGGAGCACTTTCTGCAGCTATACTATCTGGTAAACCTGTATGTTTGCATAAAAGCCCAACAGCAGTAGCCCAGCTCCATCCATATGCATGACTGGCAAAATTCAAAGGTTTTAGCGTATGATATTGCAACAAGAGTTCAAATCCAAGAATGCCATTGAACCCACCTACCCTGTTTGACCAAATTGGCTTGGGATTGTCCATTGAGTGTAGCTTGGGACATGAAGCACTTGAAATGTGAGGCATATAAAGTATTCAAGATTCAAACAGGATTTCTTGCTAGCCTCCTGTAGCCCTTTAATAGTCTTGCTTAGCTTTTTGGTTTCGGCAAGTGACAAGTTATCCATAAACTCTAGGTAAATGCATGGGGTCAAATCTTTTGTTCCCTCCCTAAACCCACCGCTGATTCTAGTGGAAGTTGGTCCAAATCAGAGGTGGACAAATCTGTATCTCTTGCTTATGTGAGCGAGTAACTGGCTTCAATGGAGTTCACAGATGAAAAAAAAAAAAAAAAAGATGGATTTGTCCTTACTCAGTTGCACCATTTTTAAGCCTCTCACTGTTCATGCTCTGTGAAAAAGGCAGTAATGAGATATTGAATAAGATTTATAGTTCCCAATTTCACTAAATATTTCAGAGCATTCTCCTAGTCATTGCTTTAACTCTCTCTCAGATGCCTGTGCTATGCAGGTCAAGTTTAAAATCAGTCCATGTTCTGTTTGAGTAATATTTCAGTGCTCAAAAGAAGGGCCATGCATACTAAGCAGCTGTATTTAAATATTGTGGGGCTTTGAAAACTGCATCTTCAAAAAGGAAGATTTTTCTCATCTGTTGTCTTCTCAAATTACTTCCCCGCTTAGAAAGCTCAGCAGTGCCGGCAAAAGTAGACACAGAGCTCCACTCCTGTCATTGAGCTCACTGAAAGCAGTGGGACTTTCTACGCATGGATGTCTTTGCATGATTTAGATCTTCAAGGCTAGACCTTACAAAGCGCTCGCTGTTTTATAGTTTATATATATTATGCTTTGGAGAGAAATGTTTCTCATCATAGATCTAATCCAAAGCCAATCGAAGTAATAGAGAAAGATGTGGTCCAAGAATACTTCTTTGCAGCCTGTTTACTCCTTGATGATCCTAAATCACGACATGGAGGCCTTTCTTTAACTGGTGCTTACATTTCAGACAAAGTGGGAAGGCTGTCAAATGCACTCGCTTCTATTCTCTCTAGGGAGTCGCTCTGAGAGATCTCACTGTAACAAAAAGGCAGACACAAAGCAACACGTTAATGGAAAAGATACCGGAAATCAGAATTCTTGTCTGGCAGCAGTGTCCGTGCCCCGCCTCGGGCATCTTGAGAGCCGGTGCCAGCAGGGTTTGAGAGAGACCAGCCTTTCGCTGTCTTGGCAAAGGGGTACGCCAGCCCTTTGGAATAAGTATCTCCTAACAGCCCATCTCCATTTTCTCAGTAAATTGTAGGTAAGGTAGTGACTCAGTGCCAGAACTAATGCAAACAGAGCGAGCCCATGTCTGTGAGCCTTTTGCTTCTATCATTGGTCCTGCTTAGTGAATTTGTTCACATGGGCAAAGATGTAGATAATGTTCATGGTGCTTCATACACTATTATTAAGTCAGGATGATGGTCATCTTATCCACAGATGTAGAAATACACAAATACGCATTCAGTGCACTTTATGAATAATTTTTCGATTTAACTGCCATTTTATTTACACACGCAAACTGAAAGGAAGGGGCTCTTTTGCATCATGACAAAGACCAACAGGAGTGTGTTTGTAGGAACTGTTGGGTTTTGGTGTACTGATGTTCCTATTCCGCACATGTAGTTAAGAATAACCAATGCTGAATATAAAGAAAAAAAATCCACTTATTTGATGCTTATTAAAAGCCTGCTGGATTAAGATTTACGGGGCTACATGAAATTTGTCCTGAAAGCAAATAGTATATATTGATGCATATATAAGGGAAGGGTCTTCAAAACCGTGTTTTCTTTCGACAGAATTGACTGGAATGGCATGTAAACTAAACCTAAGATTATACACTGCCAAGGAAAAAAAATTTCTAAACAACTGAAACACATCTACAAAATCAGAGCCAGTATTGTCACAGTCCTGAAAGTTATCTTACTTCAATTGTAATTACGAGAAAACAATTCCTATCAGTGTTGAAATAAAACCCCCTTAGACCAGAATGAATTGTTTTTTTCATTTGTAGTGGCAAAGGGGGATGCACACTAGAAATCATACATTAAATACGCATATATTTCTTACAGAAATATTCACGATTTTTCCATAATGAGAATTCAGTGAGATTTTGGGTTTTTTTGGTATTGCATAAATGAAAGATGGATATAGAACAAGCGGCCTGCTGAGTATCTGATCCTCAGAGACTCATGGGCTGGGAGGGATCAGTGACTGCTCGCAGAACTTAAAGACTCTTTCAGGTCTGGGGTCTGAAACATGGTCTTTCCATGGGATTCCTCCTCTCTGTCACCGGCTCCCTATTTACGTATGTTGGAACGACTTTTGGCAGTGAGAATAATTTATCATCTGATTTGCAGTTGGTGATGAGTTGCCAAATAGATGATTTTGAGATTTATCATTTAAAAATATGCATTTTTCAAAGTAGCACTAAATCTCAATCAAATTATGAAGTATTCTTCAGATTTACTTCAGACAAATACATCGATTTCTACACTGTTAATTTGGAGAGATACATTAAAGGATGCCAGGAAATCAATTAAGTCCTCTTTATGGAAGGGAAAATGTCAATGAACAAAATACGCTTTGTGAATAATAGTATATGCATACAGTTTGGGAAAGTTTAGCTTCGAGTCATATAGGTAGGAGAAATTTTGTAGATTTGAGTTGGTCTCCCATCTGAAAATGATAAATTCTCAACAATCACTAAGATGCAAGCGAATGCAAGAATACAGCGCCACTGTATTGTACTATAATACATTGCAGTGGAATACATGCAGCCGAGTTTAGCTCATTTTCTACTTGCTAGAGCTACAGGAACATGTAAGTTTATAAATCGGCCAAAATTGTTTAACCAATGAGCACTAAAAGCTAAGCTAGTCCAGCTGGGTCTATTCAGGCATTTGCATTAGCCTCATCCTTCAAGTCTTTGCCTTCAAGAATGCACCATGAAAAGGTTTTGTACTTTCTCTTTTTGGTTCCTTGAAAATGAATTATGTAATATCTAACATATATTTTAATATCTCATGCACTATGTGCTTTTCATAAGTGAAGAGAAGCATAAACAGTGCACCTGAAAAAGAAAGTGGCATCGTCTGTGCTGCTGCTTTGGTTCTGGGGGAGGTCATTCCCCTGTTCTGCATTGCACTGGTGTGCCAACAACTTTGTCCTTTAGAGACAACTCAATGCAGATAAAATAAAAAATAATAAATAATGGAGACTGAAGCCTGCCATCTTTCAGCTGGAATAACAACAGAAATAAGGGCAAGATTGGTCAGATGAGCCTTATGGCCTGAGTCCTTGATATCGAATAGGTGCAAAGCCAAGGGAGGGGAAGCAACACAGACCTGGTGTGCAAAATTACAGAACCTGCAAACCAAAAGGTCCAAGAAAGGGTTCAGTCCTACTGCTCCCCTGCCAAGCTCATCTCTCGGTGCAAATTACAAAGAAATATCTTATTTGGGTACCGCGTTAATGTATTATCGCAGAATGCCATAGCTAGCATGGCAGTGATAACGTTTTATGAGAGATTTCTATCTCCTCTGCTAATCAAAAGCACCTATCATCAGATATTAAGCTGTATCCAGTTCTCTCCAACACGATTAATATTTCATTATGTGATGATGTGTTAAACAACCATTGAAAATCATACCTTTTCAAAGAATCTTTGGTGTACTGCTTCTAAGAAAAGAAATGCTATGTTTGTCCTTCCCCAGCGTGTTTTTTTGTTTTAACCAATAGTAAGTTTTAGCAACACATTTTCACATTATTGCAAAAAGATGTTGTTTGGGATGGAGGTTTATGACAGAATTTCTAGTAAGAAATTAAGGGAAAGCCTACGGAAAATGCTGTCAACTTACATGATGAAGGCATCTCTAAGTCCTTCAAACGCATGTGATGGGATTTCTTTCACAGGCAGGTGAGTAAATGATCTGAAAAAAGAAGAGAGGGAGGAAAGAGTTGTAAGGCACAGGGTTTCCTTGTTTACAGATGGTACCATTACGGTGGGCAGAAAACCAAAAAAGCATAAAGTCACTTTATTTCACCTGCAGTTCTCCGTACCTCTGGGGCCCGATCCGTTTACCATTGATCTCAGTTAAATGGAATTCAAAGGATATTGCATCAGTTCCTCAACAGCATAAATTTGAGACTAATCACTGTCAAATCGATAATAATCATAACCTATTAAATAATGCCTGATAGAATTGGTCTGCTGCATTCACAGTCAATGGAAGCTATAGGCTATTTAACATTAGCACCTCAGAAAAAGTGCCTTTCGTGTAAAGCTTTTTCTCTATAAGTAGTATCTTTGCATTCACTGGACCATGTTCTCCTCCCAGCTGTATCCCTGTAATGTTGCAGCGTGGCACCCCGAATTCACTGTCAGTGCTCTGTCTGCATAGAAGAGTTCCAAATCAGGCCTGATGTGGTGGATTTTTGGTGTGGGTTTTTTAATTTATTTTTTTTTTTTATAAATTGCATCGGTGTGGTTAGTTGATTAAAAGCAAGTGTATATTTTCCTTTTAAATTTTTTAGTTACTCTGACTGAGAAGTTAATAACGATGTGGAATACAGATCTGCATTTTACCATTCTACTCCGCATCTACAGTACTTTTACCAGCCAATGTATCTAGCCATGACCACGCTCTCCCCGATAATGGCCAGAGGAAAATATTTAACATATTTCAAGACGTTATCTCTGTGCAAACAGATAATTGCTCCATTTTGCTTTATAATTGCAAACATCTAGTCAGAGACATTTGTTTCCCATCCTAACTCCCCCCAAGGTCTTTTGACTGAAATATTTCTGTGCTATTCATACAACCTGCTTTTTTTTCTTTGTTGTCATAATCAATTTAAAACATAAACAATTTAAAAATGTTTATCAACTTTTATATATATACATGTATATTTTACATATACACACATCTGTCATGCCCACGCAATATAATGGCAGGCTGTCACACATACGTATGTCTTGGGGTTACAAATCTAGGTGTACTAAGGAGCCTGGCAGTCAATTCCTAGCTACGTTCCAAATGGTCTGTGTGATGTGGGGCAAATCATTTCATTTCCTTGCACCTTGACTCCCTGGCAGTAAACTGGGAATAACAATGCTTCCCTGCCTAATAGGGATGTTGTAAGGATATATATGTTTTTGATGCTACTGTGATTGTGTCACACCTGTCTCCAGATGGATGCTGGCATGTTGTGTTGTATGTGAGGTTTGGTTAAATCAGAAATGAAACCAAGCCATGTGTCTCAAAACATGTGTTTGCCCCTGAGGGGACAGAAGGATAGAGATAATCCTGTAGTAGAGCTCAATACTCTGAGTATAAAGGAAAACAACTTCAGGAAGAAGTAGAAAGTAGAAGCTGAGAAATTCCCACTCTATAACCCTGGCAGCAGGAACTGCTTCGTAACTCCCACCATCAGCTGGGGCTGCTTGCAAAATAAAACATACCTTTTGTGAAACTGTCTGCAAAAAACCACTATCATTTACAAAAGAAATAGAAATGTGCCTGAAAGTGCAAGAAAAATAAAACCAGGTCTTGGCTTTTAATTACATGAAAATCTTCAGCCCAAGAGCCTCCCACCTCCCTGCGACGTGCCAGTGAGCAGCGTGGTGGTTCTAAATGCCCGTAACGTGTGGCTTGGAGTGACCCGCTCCCCCCTGCCTGCAGAAAGCTCCAAGCTTAGCCACCTCAGCTATGTGATTAAATTTAAGCGGAATGACTCAACACTTTCAATACATACTGTAGTTAAACTGCATGGCAGCACCTAATCCATTCTGTATTTCAACTTCATTGGTTTTTGTTTTTTATTATCCTGAGTTCACCTTGATAGCTGGAGCTGTGAGCTCATCTGCATTGACATTACCTCGTCCCATTAAGCATCTCACCAAACAGCAAGAACAAAGGAAAAAGGCAATTCATAATCAGCCTTCTCTCTTAAAACTCCAAATACTGGTGTAGCACACATAGACACTTCCACATCGATAAAGACATCTTAAATTCACCAAAAAGCTGAACGTTCCCATCTCTATTCTTGTCCACTTTAACTTTGGGGTTTGTATCTCAAACCCTGCCTGTGTTAAAAGGAAACATGTTCATTTCAATGTCTCTTTCTATACTCAAAACATTTTGAAGAAGAACCTTTAGCTTGCTAAGCACAATCCAGCCTGTGTATATATGTAAGTATTTAGGTTAATAGAGTTTTGAACCGCTTGTTGCAGGCTTAATTCTTTCCAAAGTGCCGAGTAAAGCAAGGCCTTATCTCATGTGTTGAAGTCTCTGCTATTGAACATGACTGATGTCTTTGATAGCACACAATGAAACTCAGGGAGCTACTGGCAGGAATTAAATATTGATTTCTTACTGATGGCACTCAGATTGTGACACTCAGTTGCGACCAGTTATTCATCTCTCAGAACTGAAGAAGCTTTTGACAAAAAAAACCAAAAGAACAAACTGGGTTTTACAAAGCTACAAATCTTTTACACATCTAACTTGCCCATGCTACTAGCCTGACTTCTGTAGCTTATGAACAGAGGGACGCATCCATCTTTAACACACGTTAGCAATACTGGTTTGAAGGAGTGTTGTTAGCTGAAAGATGAACTTTTGTACTTTGGAGAAAAAACTGTAATGCTCCTTTCACCACTAATGCAGCACAACTTGTACGCTTGTACTGCTGCTGCCATTCAGCAGCTGACAGTACGGCAGCTCCAGACAATTGCGGGACTTTTCATCCTCGGAGAAAGGATGGACAGCAAGGAGTGGGGAGCCAGCCAGCCTTCTTGGCATTCGCCAGCCCTTAGCATTTCTGTACATCAAGCTTGCTTTTCAAGGTACATCATTCTAGGCAGCAAGGTTTGAAATGGCCAGGCTAAATACCTGTAAGACTAGCCAAAAAAATTGGGAGAGACAGGAACAGCGCCTACACTGACCTAATCCCGTCCTTGCCTGGTAGATAAAATACTGCCCTTCTCTCTTCAGCTAGCGTTTGCTGCCTGTATTTTTGTTTTTAAATAATAGAGTGCATTTTTCACAGGGATGGTTATCTTCCTGTTGTTAGGAATACCGGGCCCAGTAGGGACGATGAGAGCAAACCACCTTCTGTTTCCCCTGCTGTGAACATATAGACGGAGCAGTAAGCGCTCTCTAGAAAATGCTCATGGGGCAGTCTGTCCCAAGGATACAGTGGCATAAAACCTCTGTAGGCCTTTTTTTTCGCTTCTGGGATGTAGAAGAGGCAACTTGACAACAATTTTTATCTGCTAAAAGATAAGCTTCTGCTCCGGCGCTACCACATAGACTCAGGCTCCAAGGGAAGTTTTTGGGAGGTCTAGATGCCCAAAGGCTGCAGGACCACTTGCAGTCCTGTTGATGAGGAATCAAAGCCGAAACCCACTCGCACTGCTGGAGAAAATCTCTGTATTACAGAATTGGCCTTTTGCAAAAAGTGATTAGTTGAACTAATAATAAATAAAAACCAGAACACCAGCCCTACAGCAATATGTATGAATGTGTTACTGTAGCTGGGTTGGCTGTTATGTTTTAGTGTCTCTATTTTATAGGATTCCCCATATTTCTAATGCCAAAAATGTGAACACACAAGGTAGACCCTTGCTGAGAATGGTGAACATTTCATTCTATGGTGTCCTTGGACTTAGCTCAGAAGAAGTATGAATATTGATTTAAACTAAGACCGAAACCCCACCATTTTCCCAGGATTTTTATCAGCTTCTGGGGGCAATGTAAAGTGCTAGCACTGATTTTTAAAGCCCTATATATCAGGCGTTATCTACCTGAAATGCAAACGATGTTGTGGGATATAGCACCCAAGCAGCCAAAGCATACTTTCCGGTAGGTGATGATGGGTGGTACGTCATCTCCTATGAAAGGCACTTTGGCCCCGAACCTGAATTCGTCTGTCAGTCCCAAAGAGCAAAATATGCCCACGGTGAAGACATGGTAGAACTGTCTACTTGTTCAGGCTTTTGTCCCAAAGCTTTGGATTTGGTGGGTGATGCTAATTACGGGCAACTCGTCCTAATGCAGAAGCCCTGCATACAGGGGCACGTATTCAGGCACAGCAAAGCGAATCCCGCTATGAAATGAGGTTTTTGAAGGGGCAGAAGGGTATTCAGTATCCTGAGCCCATTATTGTACAGCTGGAGTTGGGTGCCTATCCGTTTAGACTGCTAAAAAAACCCAAAAGTATGTATGAGACTTCAAAAGAAAAAAAATACTGTTTTGTTTCAGAATATAACGGTGTATTAAAGATTATTTTTCTGCTGAGTCTAAGGAGACATATAGCTGCTATAGGAAAAATGACATACAAAGGTGTTGGATAATGGAGTTTCTATAGTGTTTGTGTAATGTCCAAATTAAAAACAGGAGCCTGAGAAAAATATGGTCAATTCAGGACTGTATAAAACACATCATTCTGCAACCTGTCAGCAGGCTAACCATGTTGAAAACTCTTCCAGCTATAATTTGACACGGCAAGAATAACTCTATATATACTTGGAAAACAAAAAATTGTCAAAAGTACATTTGGAAGCACAGCTCATTACAGCATCAGGGCTTGAATTACTCAGGTATAGCTGGAGTTACATATCGGTGTTTATTTTCTTGACTGATCATACTAGTAAGGAGGACTTTTCTGAGGTCTGGTTTCTGTGTTACAGTGGCTCCAATGGAAGGACATGGGCACACCAGGAACTGTGTTGGAACAACCTGGAGCAGCCTATTTTTTCCCAAATTATTAGTGCACCTGCAAGCACTACACTGCCGTTCCCCTGGTGTACACAGGTACGGATGTGACTATGAGGGGGCAAAAGTAACTTTCTCTTGCTTTCTCTCACATACAGAGAGCTGTGCAGGGGGGATAGGGAGCTAAAAAGATATTGGCAAAGTATGTAAAGATGGAGGGAGCCAGTAAAATGACAAAGCTGGAAAAGTCATATGAATAAGAGAGTAAGAGAAAGGGAGAAAAGGAGTAAGAGAGAGGGAAAAACAACAGCCAAGTAGGTAAGAATACACTAGTATGAAAATCAAAGGAAGAGGCGAAAGGAAAGTAAAACAAGTTGAATAAGAACTCAAAAAAGAGCGAGAATACATGTACACTTGTAGGCTTAGAGACTACATTAATCAGTACAGCTTTGTAAGTGCATGACGAATGTAAGGTTTCTACTAAAAAAAACCCCAAAATACAAAGAAATGGAAATCTAATAGTATGGTTCTGGGTTCAATATAAATCAGGTTGGATGTGGCCTGGAAGTAGAAGGAGCTGGACATGTCTGTGCAAATGCAGACCGAAAGACACAGGGATATTTTTGACATCTGAGTGTAAATATTTTCTCTGTAGTAGTACTGAGCAGAATCTTGGTTGAAGTCTTTTCTGACTGTAAAGGTGGTGTCTACAGCCACCTTAATAGCAGACTTTGTGAACAATCGTAAAGATTAAATGTTATATTAAAGGTTGAAGGGAAAAACACTTCCCTTATTTTTGCCCATCATCTAGTCCTGTTGATCTGAGTGAAGCATAACTGGCAGCAGCCACAAACCCATTATCTGTCTTAACCTGATCACTGAGGTTCGGATGTGATTTCTTCTTGGGGTAATAGGTGGAAAAAGGAAAAATAGTAGCAAAAAAATGAGTAAACCTGAAAAGACAGGAAAAAATCACCTAAGTTTAGAGCTTTTGATAACCTTTCTGGGCTGTGATGTGCATTGTCCTAATAAACATGCTAAATCCCTGCAAAAACTAACCTCCCCATTTGTTTCTGCTGCTACAGAGATCCTCAGTGTGACCGATCCACTGCCTGCTCTGCTCTACCAACAGCGGGGAAGAAACGTGCTTGTTGCAATAACTGTGGAGAGTCTCTCCAGCATCCACGGGCTCTGCTTTCTCTGATGCTCAGGTGACACAGGGAAATGGGGAGGAAACAAGTTCAGGACAAGAGATGTTTCTAAAAACTGCCTTTGGAGGAACAATTCCTGTGGCTCTAGATTAATACAAATTAGTATTTCTTGCTCCTATCAATTTTCAAGATAGGGAGAAAAGAAAGGGGCGGTCAGGGATAGTATCATCCCTGGGGAATTTCAAGAGCATGTTAAATTTACAAACAAATTGGACGAAAATGGAAAACATGGGCTTTGTTACCAAAAGGGGCATAATAAGAAAACCCCAGCTCAACTGACAGAATCATAGAATGGTTTGGGTTGGAAGGGACCTTTTAGATCGTTTAGTTCTAATCACCCTGCCGAAGCAGGGTCACCTACAGCAGGCTGCACAGGACCCCGTCCAGGCGGG